CTTACATGAGATTATCGTGTATACATATATTATCAGTCCCGGCCATGCTGCTCTCGCACAAGTCCCGGGTATGTCGCAGAGCCAGGTCGGGGGCCTTGATGCACTGGCTCAGCTTGCTCTCGCTGCTGTTTCCCTTGCTCATGGCGCGACCACTTCCTATCTCTAAATTATATTACGAGGATGAGAAAGGAACAAAAAGGAGATTGGATGCTGCGCCGTAGAGTTATTTAGAGAGAGCAGTAGTTTCTTGGGGTTGGGGGGGATCGAGGAAGGCTTAATTACAGTAATCACCATTCTTTGTGATTTCCATATTTACGTAGCTTCTTACCATATGGTTTATTCTCGCGATCCATAGGACGAGCTTTGAGTCAAAAATTTGAAATGCAACCGGTGTGAACTACCATGTCATTTGTGTCACGAAACGTGGTTCAAGTGTGATTAATGTAAAATTAATCAGAACGTTTACGTGAGTCGCAGGTTATTATCATTAATCATCATTCTTATTTTAAGGAATGATAGCGAAGAATATCGCGTTAACATACTACGTCTCTCCACACGATGGCATTAATAATGGCACTGTTATTTCTTGCTTCCTCGTCCCTTTCATGCAACGGATACTGGAGAGTGTTCCTTTCCTTCACAATGGGATCTTGCAATTAAAAACAATGAGAAATTATGTCCTAATTTTTTTGCCCAAAAGAAATTTATTAACACATTATAGTTCTATAGAATGACTTGCATAAGTCATCTTGGAGTTGCACAGATAAATCAGGAGGAATGCAATCTGCCTCCCATACAATATTGCATTTATCGACGCTTGCTTTAATATTACAATAATAAACTATGTAGTAATTATTGACTGACATTACATCCTTTATTCGAAGAGGAAGCGACACAGAAATAAACCTAACCATCAGCTTCCACGGATTTAATCTTCCTGCACACTCGAGCCTGTTCGTAGACTTCTCCAGGTCGACAATAATAGCCTTGTTTAGGAGCGCAGTGGTCATCAGTGGAGCAAATGCACAGCCCCTCCAGTGCACAACCATCACCCTGCACCACAACTTCCTTCCCTCGCAGTCCCAGTACCGCATCGGTCCAGTCTGAAGAGAACAATCCATTGCTGTCATACTTCTGCATCACACTCACAAACTTGTCCAACTTAGCCCCCAGCTTGTTCTTGACATTGAGGAAGCCGACATTTCTATTCTTCCCCCAGTGCGGCAGCGCATTGTACTTGAACAAGGCCATCTGTTCGATCTCCTCGAGCACATCCTCGTAGAGTCGCGGCTTTTTTGGATCCTTGGAACGATAGTATGTGATGTCGATGTCCACCACGTCGTCGGTTTTGCCAAGATAAGCTGTGGAGTTGCGGACGAAGCGCATGAAGAAGCCCAAGTACAGCTCGGTGCTGCAGAGTGCGTCGGGATGGGCGTCGCGGAGCTTCTTGACGTCGGCGATGAAGCCAGCGATGGTGGTGAAGGGGATGCTTATCGTGGTTTGGTGGTAGAAGAGCCCCGCAAAACGAGGGTCCCAGCCACAGGCTGTAAGAAGGTTGTCTTCTGCACTCCTTAGGCATGAACCTGGAGAGAAGATGACTCAAACTAAATAAATCCGGGCATTACATGTGTCATTATTGTGATGAAGCATTATCGTCAAGAGTTATCATTCATACATGCAGACATTCCTCGGATAATTTGAGAACCTACCAGCGGATTGCATGTCGCTTTGGTTTCCAATGACCGGATAGCCAGTGAATTCTAACAAGCCGCCGTCATTGTTCTTAAAGCCCATGCCGATCGCAATCAAAGTATCTACTTGCAATCTGAACAGCACACATTTGCCTTCCGCATTTCCCGTTGCTTCCAATAGTTCCTCTGCAGTCATTGACACAAACACATGGTAGAGGACAAAAGATGCCTTCTTAGTATAAATCTCGGACGAAATGTCGATGTAAATGTGTTCACAATACTTCTCGAACACTACATCAAGATTGACAAGCAAAATAAAAACTGCAATTTATAAGACCTGAAGCACGTAGAGAGGCTACGACAAGGGTGGGCTGAGCTCGGAACCCTAAGTAGTCGTTGACACCCTTTCCTTTGGTGGTGATGGGGACCTTGATATCATCTCGGTACACCACTCTGCGTTGTGACGGATACCAGCTGATGTCCCCATAGTATGTAGCGGCAGCGTACGAGGAGATGGTTTGCTCGAAGCCAACGTCGCTTACGACCCTGTTGGTGATGGATCGCTTGAACATTGGCTCAAGTTGGAGGGTGACCTGCGCGATCGGTTCAAGTAATTCTTAGGTTACTTATAATGAAGCAGAAGAACAAAAGCTTACATGTATTGCAAGTCAACTCTTTTCAGCTATTCAGGCAATAAGACTGAAACAAGAACTACTACTACTGACATCCCCTATCGTCCTTCAACCTAATAATTGTTACTGAGGCTTTTAAGGCAATTAGCGGGCCCGGTCGTAAGCTCTGCAAGGCAAGGCAGCATGGACCTGCCTGCCTCTTGCCTTGCGCGAGGCTCCATATGTGAAGGAAGGGGCACTCTCATTTACCCCGAGTCATCATCAACGTCACTGTAGCTGTTATTGCAAAGTTTGCTTTTTCTCTGATCTTTGTCTATGTGGGTTTGCATGTGCTCATATGTTCCATAACACTCAATTATGTTGTGTAGTTACGATAAACGACGAGGGAAGGTACATGGAATCATTAGAACGGTTCAACGGTTTGCATCAGCCCTTTTTGAAACAAGGAAGACAAGCAAAGCAAGAAAAGAAGGAAAGATTAAAAGTAAAGTCCACTGGGATCATCAACAGCCTATTATTTACGTAACTTTCTAGATTCGAGGAAAAGAACAAGTCTTCCTTTGTAAAGTGATTTGATAGAAAACAAGTTCTTTTTTTCTGTCTCGACATTTTGCTGACGATAGGATGTATTCAGCGTTGCTAATAACAGTAGGATGATCTCTATTATATCATGAAGAATTAAAGATATAGTTGCACCTAATTAGCATCGAGACGTGGCGAGTCATGTACTCAGCTTATGAAAGCACTTGACGTGGTTGGAAGAACCACCATGAAGAACTAAGATGAGTTATCACATGGATCTCAAACCGTGTAAAGAACAAAGAACAACACGTAGGTCACCACACACATACCTGAGAAATGACTCCAAGAACACCGAGAGAAACCTTGGCAGCCAAGAGATCAGGATTATCCTCACCAAGATTAACGATCTTGGCGTAGTACCCGTTCACCGGTACCGGACTTGGAACCACCAGCCTCATCCCTACCACATATTCGTGCACCGCCGAGCCCTTCCCGAACACCGAGCTCCCATGCGAACCGGTGCTCAGCAGCCCGCCGAGCGTGATCCCTTGCCAGTACGGCGAGTGGGGTAGCGCCAGGCCACGGGCGGCCGCCGCGTCAAGGAGCGCCCTAAGTGTGATCCCTGCCTCGAACGTCATCCGCGAGGTGGCCATGTCCACGCTCACCGATCTGTTGAGGAGCTGGGTGCTAATGACCAGGCCCTGGCCGCTCGGCCCGCCGGGGCACGACAGCTTGGGGATGCTGTGGGAGTACATCGTGACAGCCTTCATGTGCTGCTGCTTCTCGGTGGCGTCGGAGACAGCTAACAGGAGCTCCTGTTCGGTCGAAGGGTACGCGACCGCGGCGACGCGGCAGGTGCTGCGATCAGGAAAGGCTCCATAGCCGTTGGTCACGGTGCAGTTAGTGTTGCCGGACCGGCACCGGACAACGGGCCCTGGCGGCGATCCTTGGACTAGGAGAAGCAAGACGGCGAGGCCGGATGCGAACAGGGCAATGTGGGTGGCGGCCATGATGGCTGTTCAGAGTTGGTCTGGGTATGGGTATGTAATGTATATATAGGTGCATTCGATATCTTGATCACTATTTACATAATAATTAGTAGTCAGAAAAAAATTCATATAAAAGAAGGGAGGTAAAGCCCGTTGACTTAACAAGAGATTATGCCATCCCGATGAATCTTACGTGTATTTAGACGTGTTGGAATGGTTCATAATTGTCAAAGTCTCCGGTTGATGGTCGCAGAACACGTGATGCAAGAACGTGATTAGATAATATATATTGATAGAGGGAGGTAGATGAGTTGGCAATTTTACTTCTACCAGTCTCTGTGGAAACCGTGGATGATGTGCGTGGGACGGCAATGGAAAAGTGGTGCCATATCATCCATATCTGATTCATGAACATGCAATAGGAGGAGTTTTCATCCGTTCCCAATTTGAGTCATTTATGTCAATCACGTGAGCCTACTTGGGACGCAAGGTTCTTATCATTATTATTATTGTAAGGAAA